GTGATGACTACTTTTCAAAATTGTGTTAGATAAAATTGTGTTTGATTTACATTAACCTACTACTAGACAATACAAATTACGTTGTTGCTTACTTGACTCATGTTTTATCTTAGTATATCACGTGAATAGTAATATATAACAAACTATGTTGATATAATATGTTGCTTCATATGTAAATTTGTGACTCTCTCTAGACGTTTAAAATGATTTCATTTATAATTACACATTGTAGTTTTGAATCATTTCCATCAAAGCTCTACATATATATTTACAGATAAGGTTAAAAAATTGCCCGTACTTCACTTCAGTGTTGTTATATTTTTCTGGTCCTTCGGGATCATTGATGCAAGCACTATTTAGTGTTGAGAATTGAGTACCGCTCAAGCCGGTGCTACGGGTCGTGAGGGATGTTGCACTTATTCATTATCCCTCATGTACATACTCAATCAAACCGAGTCTGCAATTTTCAAGTAATTTTGTTGTGATTAATGCTTCCGAGGGATCTCTTGGTTTCCGGATTTTGTCATTTGCGAAGGCACTGAAAATAGATATCTTAAATATTTGTGTCACAATTAAAATGTAAAAACGCCTTAATTTAGATAAATATTTAAAACGGGAGAAAGGACATTCCTTGAACACCATAATTAAAATTTTAGAAATGGCAATGAATTGTAAAGATTAAACTGAAAACGAGCTGTACAAATGTAAATAAATCAAAAATATAATTTATGTCTGATATACAAGTTTATTTTTATTACTATAGTCAGGAAAACATGAAAAACCTCCAATTGCTTTGTACGCAGATCACATGAAAGACTTGTTTCTTGATACTTCAAATAAGATTCTCATTATTATTCGAAAAATCAATCATTTATCAGGGAACAGGTTACGACACGTTTACTGGATTATTTACAGCACCAGTTGGTGGACTGTTCCAGTTTGTTGTTCATACATGTTCTTATCCTAACAACTATATATATATATTGACCTAGTGATGGAAAGTAACGTTATTGCAGATCAGGAAAAAAGTTTGGATAAAAGCAACATCGTCAGGTTATAATCGCCAGCTTAACCAAAACTCATGTAAGATGCACACATTCAGTTGAATGGTTGACAATTGATGTGACTTAAATCTTCTTTCAAAATTAATACTTGATGTTAAACGTTGATCTTTTAATATAAATCATTTTTATTCATACTTGTGACTCATAATCAGATCCAATAGAAAGTTTTTGTGCAATCAGTATCTTGAAATCATCGATTTATCTATGATGTTGAAAAGAATATTAAACATGCAATGACGTTATTTGCATATTGTTTATATGACAAACATTTTTATCGGAGTATAGAAGAATAAGAATTTAAAGCTGGTCGAAGTGTTTAATAACAATGTAAGGAAATCTTATGCAATATGTTTCGAGAAGTTTTTGTGTAAAAGTGTCATTAAGCAAATTAATTTAAATCATGAAAACAATTATAACATTTCAGTAACATTAAATCTATTTTAAAGATAACCGGTACGAATTTGTATATTTTGATGAATCAAAGTACAATAGTAACGCACAATTATGCAAAAATAGGACTGAAACGAGCACAACAGTGAGTAAATAAATCGATATAAGTCACAATAATTAAATAAGAGATTAATTTGCTTATGCGGTTGCAAAAACATTATATTATAAACCTCATTATACATGTTATAAGCGGTTTTCAAGATTAGCTTTCGTATTTAAATCTAAAATTAAAAAAAAAACAAAGAAAAAAACAACAACAAAAACAACAAAACAAATAAAAAACAATAACAACAAAAAAAAAAACACAAACAATGACACTTTTTTATGAGATTGCGCAAGTTTCGTGAATTATGCACCGAAAGCTTGTTGCTTAATAAAATGGTATTTGCTTCCTTATAGCACTATATAACGCTAGTACTTCTGTAATTATCTGTGGTATTCCACAGATGTAAATTAAAGTCATGTCTTTCTCAAACCTAAATGCCTAGTACACAGCTGATATCCTTTACATACAACATAGTATTCCTAAATAAAGAATCATAGCTTGATATCCACGATTGTCATAAGCAAGAAGTTTACTTATACCTTGATGTTGAGAGATTTCCATCTTTGTTGTAAACAAGAAAATCTGTCACTTAAAGGCTGATCATTGTTTCAAACTTTAACACGCTTTAAGAAATAACTTGTAATATAATTGTAAGACTATTTTCCTTAAGAAACAAAACTTGAATATATTTTCTTAAAATCATACGTGATTAATTACCTCCGGTTATATCAAATTTTAAACTAGGAGTTTATCCAAATATCGAGTTAATTGCTTACAGATGTTTAAATTAATGATAATTTATTCCTACATGCAATTACGTCAATAGTTTATAAATTGCTCTTTGCTCGTTAGCGCTTGTATTTTTTCAATATAAATGTGCTTACATAGATGGTAATATATTATTTAGATAGTGTGTAAAAGGTTATTTACAATAAAACATAGAGTTTCGAAAAGCAACATAAGATCTCGAACTAAATAGATAATCCTTCGTCAGGTAACTTTTTAATCTGTTAGAAGAGTATTTTTTGCATAATAGGGCGTTTTCACTATATCTACCGAAAATTTTGTGAAAATTCCATTTTATGATATCTGATACGTGTCAATTTATTTACCTACCATTAAGTTCTACACATTTTGTTGTCAGTGCTGTCTCAGTTTTTTCACTACTTATATCCTTTTAACAATGTTCTCATTCTTAATTTATTTTTTATTATTATGTTTGTTTTTTTTTTACTTCGTGTTTAAATCTTGAATTCTGCTTAAATCGGTGCTAGGGGGCGTGAACGTTAACTTGCACTTTCCAGTACCATGAACAGACTCAATCAAACCGAGCATGCAATAGTTTTGAATTGTGCTGTGTTGGTTTTTTTAAGGGATTCTGTTTTTCTTGATTTTATCTGAAACCTTGCTGCTTAAACATCATTCAAGTATGCAATAGATAAGGAAACATCAAATAAATATATAATTTTCATTATAAAAACAGCAATATAGGATGAAATCAATTTAATATATGAGTACATACTATCTTAATTAAAAGCAAGTGTTTACAGTGTTAATCTTTCCATAGAAATAACAACTGACGTTAAACCTGATGAGTTATAATAATATTCCATATATTTTTGTTAACACCGGTGGTTATGTAAATCTATTTGATAAAATTGATTTAAACCAGAATAAAATTGCCATCTGTTTAGAATGTTCTTATTTAAACAGGGTGCTGTAAAGATACACTTTGACTTTTTGATTTCCTACACCACGAGTTTTAAAGTTTCTGCTTGTTAACTTTGTGATATAAGCCAGACATATTTATAAACAAGTGATGCCTGAATAATAATAATAAAGATAGACATAAATGTTTTCCTTACTTCGTAGGCCCGGAAGGAGGGCTTGCTTCAAACTGGTTAAATATGACTTTAAAAAATCCATATTTAATGGTTTAAGCTATGGTCTTTCCCTCCATCGATCGACAGCACCACAACTACCATCACAGGCAGTAATCTAGAGGTAGAACACTTATCTATGAAGTAAAAGGTCCGAATGTCAAGGTTAAGTAAATGTGCGTTTTATTGACTTATATTAAATGGTTCTTTATGGCCCATTATACCCAAGACGTATTTCTATTTCCTAACAGCTTTCAGGTTTTTGTGTCTGGTTATAATTACAAATAAGTCACACATTACTAATATTATCTCAGTAATCTTTTGCCTCTGTTGCTTTTTGGCAGTTAGAACATTTATAGTGATTAAGTAATTTGTATTGAAGTCAAATACTACTTTCTTTACACATTTTCCTTCTTTAAGGAAAAAAAGTTCACGTTCAGCCTTAATTTCGTCTAGATTAAAATCATTTAATATACTCTAAAAACAGTCATGGAACCTATGGGTGCTGTTTCTAAAGGTGTTAAGAATTTTGTCATTTCTAAGGCATTATATGCCTTTAAGTTATAAGTAAAAATATGCAGAAAAAAAACAACATGCACGTGTTGCAAAAATATAAAAAACTGTTATTTTGATGCAAATTATTCAATCATTAGACTTTTCCAGCTGTTCTGAATCTTCATAGATACAATTACACTTTAATTCAGAAAATATTAATTGAATACTCCTGTTACTTGAAAATCTAAGTCTAATTATCTTATTGAAATAACAACAAATTGATAAGTAGTGAAGATCACATTTAATAGACAGATGTTCACTGCTTTCTTTAACAGAAGGTCCGGACGGAGGGTTTGCAATAAGCTAAGTTTTTGCAAAATCTTAGTAAATGTTATATCTGTGCTTCGCTAGTTACAATGCTTTTTTAGAATCCAGCAATGGTAATTCTTCAAAAATGTATTGTATAGTACATATTCAAATAAATCAAACTTGAGAGTATTATAGAAATGTTTCTTTGTAATCGACATAAACAGTAGAAAAATCAAAATCACAGGAAAATAATAAGATACTTAAGCAACTGAGTCGTAAAGGCTGAACAACAAGTTTCAAGTTTTTTTAATACTAGATCTAATATGTAACAATAGACGTATGACATACTAATCGTTAAACACGTTTAATAAATAAAATAAGAGAAATGGTCTCTTATAACAAAGCATCAATGATTATAATATAAAACAAAAGAGATCACATTATCAACTCAGAAGTAATTGATTTTAAACGAATCACGCCTTTAAGATGAAAACAAATATTTCATTTTGTATGTTGCCCTTGAACCTGCTCTTACTGTATGAGTACTGTATGACTCAAGTTATGAAATTTTGTTCCTCTTCAGAATGGCTTTTTGATATAATAATATGCATCAAATGCATTGTGGTTTCCTTGCAATTGTGCTTAAACACAATTATCATAACAAACATATACGGGCCTCATTTTCAAACACACAGATTTTATTTGAATAAATACAACAGTTTCTCTTACAGGGTTCAATTAAGATTTTATGTTACAACTATCCCAATGAAAATGAGGTTCTCACTATTATTTTCGTTTGTTATTGTCGTTGGATTATGCAGTTATAAGTTTTCTGAGGCTAGAGAGCCTGTATGTTCTAAATTTGCATATGAAGAACAACTTTTAGAGAAAATGATCAGGACTGAAATAAAGGTAGAAACAATGGTGAATGAAATTAAGAAAACTGAGGATAAGGTCATCAGTACATTAGGCGACATTAAACAAACAGTTGCAGATTTTACGGACATGTTTGCGGACATGAAGGGGAACATAACGAACGAGATGTTAAATAGAGGTGATGAAATAAAAAGAAGAGAAGGTATAATAAAACAGTTATTTCACATCAAACTCACATTTCGTACAGCATATTTAAACACTTTTAAATGCTAAGTTTAAAATAATTTATATACAAACTATTGTATGTTTGTGGTGTCTCAGTCAAGGGAGCTTACTGATGAATTTAAAATACATAATGATAATTGAGTTACTCCCCTTGGCGTGACAGTTCAAAACTTGTGTTATATACAGTGAATACACAACCCCTTTTACATTATGTTTTTAAGGTATACTGACTTGCGTGAGCTTAATTCATTACATTGTTTTCTGATTGTGTAAATAATATGTCATTTTACTGTTCTACCAGCCACTTATATAGCACAATTCAATTGTTGTTGTTGCTTCTTGTAATGATGAATTTACATTAATGTACCAAAGAATTAGCTTCGAAATGGCATCTTTTCAGGAGGTGTGTACAATATGTTAACCGAAACAGTTTAAATAAAATAAGAAATAAACTTTATACGCTGTGCATATTTCCAATAATGTATTGTTTAATTTGTAATTGTTGGATTTATAGATCAATATATCTTAATCATTTTAATTGATTTGGTAACTTAAAGTGATAAAAAAGAAGTTCAAAACATTATATATTTGCAATATTCAACTATCTGTAAGCCATATACAATGTATAAAACTATTAATGTTCGAAAAATCAGATTAAATATATCAGTTTCTTTAAAAACATGACACATACGCCTAAAAATTCCATTAATTTTTTTGAGCATGAATTACATTTAGATTATCAACGCTACATGCTTTACAGGGGAACATAATTATAGCAGCTATAGAGAAAGGATGCTGTGCGTACAGAATACCCTTTAACTTTGGTTAGATATTAGTTAATAGAATTCTCATACTTTATTACAGAAACGTTCAAAACATCATTTGAGGAAACAAGGAAAAACCTGACAAGTGACATCGAGGCTGAAAAAGAGAAACTTTTTCAACTCCAAGGTATTGCTACCTGTTTTACATCAGTTGTGTTTGATTTCTATTTATCTACAACTAATCATAGCAAATTATTAAATTGCTGTTTACTTGTCATATGTTATCTTGGATATATTACGTGATCAATAATATTTATAACAAACAATGTCGATATAAAAATATGTTGCTTTATATGTAAATTTCATAAGATGTCCAGATGATTTGTTGACATTCACACATTCTAGTTTGTAATTATCTAAACTCTACAGATATTGGTACGATATAAATATAAGGTTTTTTTTTTACTGGCATAGGCCCCTTGATTTAAATATCTTAGATATAAAATACAAAGTATTATTTCTATACTCAGGAAAACTTGAACAACCTGCTATCGCTTTCTATGCACATCACTTGAAAGACCTGCTTCTTGATACTACAGATGAGATTCTCATATTTGAAAAGACATTCACTAACGAGGGAACAGGTTACGACACGTCCACGGGATTGTTCACGGCACCTGTTGGAGGACTGTATCAGTTTGATGTTCATATATGTACTTCATATAAGAAATATGCATATCTTGGCCTGGTGTTGGAAGGTAGTGTTATCACAGCACATGCACACTTTGGTGATGAAAATAGCAGCTGTACATCATTTGGAGCAATAAAAAGAGTTAGATCAGGAGAAAAAGTTTGGGTCAAATCAACATCGTCAGGATCTAACCGCAAGCTAACACAAGGCTCATATAGCATGAACACATTTAGTGGAGTACTTGTCAGTTACTGAATTATAAATAAATCAATAAACATTGACGGGAGTAAAATCTGATTTCAGTGTTATAAGGAGACGTTTAACGTAAACGTTTTGATGTAAACTGCATGAATAAATTTTGAGACTCTTAATAACAGTCGTGTTTTGTGAAATAAGTCGAAAATTGTCAATTTATATATGATGTGTCTTTATATGCTGTGACGAATATTATTCATACATTGTTTTTGCATATTGTTAATATTAGTTTATGTTAGTATCTTATTAGTAAATTAAAGCTGACAGCAAAGAAAGCAAACCTTATGTTCATGTAGGTTTTGTTTGTATCTATTTAGCAATTGACGTTTTTATGTTTATAAAACAATTAATATACACCATTGAAAATAAATGTATGGAAAAAATGACCATAATCAGTAAAAGTTTGAATATTATTGTATTAACATTTTGACAAATCAAAAAATTTAAAGATATATTATGCTCAAATTTAAAATTTCAAAATATTGATATTTGCTACATGGCCTCTATGTAATTGTTAAAACATGTTTTATGTAAATACAGAGTAGATATGTCGCATTTAAAATGCAAAATAATAATAATGATAATAATAATAATTCATGTACCAGCTCTATTTATAACATAAATTTATGTTTTAACATGTTACCATATTTTTGCCGCTAAACGCCATAACGTTTTTCGTGCGTTTTACGCGTGTTCCATTATGACGTCGCTTCTGGTAATTTTATTATGTTTTGCACTGATGAAGGCATAAAGCCGAAGCGTATGCAAAAAATAAGTACTGAATGTTCGTGTTTGTGTGGCTTGTCTGTTTACATTTAAAACGCTTCACATTATAGTTATTAGCGCTATGAATGCAAAGTGTAATTAAGAAAACTGTCATTATATTTTACGAAAGGACCACCCAAGAAAATGCAGCTTCCTATATTTAGTTAGTGTATTCACTTATTAAAATAATTCAATAAGAATGATCTAGATTAAAATGATTTATGCAATACAATCTATTTATTAAAAAATTGGCAGTATGTTTTGAAGTCTAAGATACCCATCTATTCTGTTCTTCTTTTAAAAAGTAAAATCATTACTTAGACATATTTCAAAGAATTACAAGATATGTTCACGAAAATGCATTTGTACGAGTATATACATTTATGTGCAAGAAAATAAACATTTGATTGAAGCTAATGAATTTATGATCTACTACAATTTTGCATAGATTTGTATAAACAAATTGTAACGTGTATTCATATTATACAGTGTTCATAAATCACCAGCATTTATGTTCCGTTAGATATATACCTTGAAGACATGTTACATAAATGCCTTTTTTCACTGAGGTTGAAATGTTATTCTACAAAAAAATACTTTTTACCCTTCAATGAATCGTTTTACTTTTTCTGTTAATGATATGAACTTCATCCTTTCTCAAATATTTATCATGAATCATATTAATTAGATAAAGTCAATCATAAGCAACATAAACTTGATGTCCAGACTGTTTCATACACACCTTTGAACTGTAAAAATAATTGTTGTTTTTTTTGTTTAAAACTACAGACTCAGTATGTGTTGATAACATGGCCTGATGCTCTTAAATACAACACATGTAATTGTTGTCATGATGTGTATCGCCTGACAAATTTCGTTCTGTAAACGATATTTTTGAATGTCACTGCACATTTATAAGTCCCTTTTTAGAGAATGACCAGATCGATAAATTACATTGAGTTATGTCCCTTTTTCTGTAGATTACAAAGAATTTTATGATTTGTTTAATTAGCCTACAATCTATACTCTACCATCTAAACTATTGCGCATATTTCAAAATAAAGATATCTTTACCATAACCTATAGAATCAAGCCCTTATTTAACATGATATTCTCTTTCTGTACCCTACTATAATGGGTGGCATTTAGATTTTCCGTTGTCAGTCCGCCCATGCGTCCGTTCTCATTTTGTGTCGCATGAAGCTCTAAAAGTACTTGTGCTAGAGTCCAAAACAATTACATAAATGTTGATCAGCATTTGAAATTATGCACCTAGGATTTTGCTTGTAGATTTATCATGTTTTGTCAGAGTTATTTCACTTGACTTAGAAAAAGATTGCAATTTTTAATTTTTGTCGTATGTAGCTCAAAATGTATTTGACCTAGATTCATGAAAGTTTACAGGAGTGTTGATCAGCATGTGAAGTTGTGCAAATTGGGTAAGGCTTGTTGATAGATTCTATTTTGTCAGAAATATTGCCTTTGACTTAGTAAAAGATTTCAATTGATTTATTCATTAGTTATAGAGTAATTGCACTTGAGTAATAAGTTAAATATTTACAATTTTCAACATGTGTCACGTGTAGCTCAAAAAGTATTTTATCTTGAGTTAGGAAAAAATACAGAAATGTTGGTCAGCAAGTGCTGTTGTGCACATGGGCGTTAATTTTACTTGTAGATTATCTAGTATTTGCAGTTTCTGGTATTTGCAGTTTTATCACCATTGACTTAGAACATATTTAAGATTTTCAACTTGTCTCACTAGTAGCCAAAAAATTATTTGACCTAGAGCCATTAAACATTACATAAAAGTTTGTCAGATGTGAAGTTGTGCAATTGGGTGTTTGCGTTTGGATATATTCAGTATTTATCTCACCCTTAAATTAGTAAAAATTTGCAATTTTCAACTTGGGTCTCGCGTAGCTCAAAATGTTTTTGGCCTAGAGTTATAAATATTTACGGACATGTTGGTCAGAAGTTTTCGTTGTTCACCAGGGGATTTTTATTTTTCCTTGTCTCAGTAAAAGTAATTTTTCAATGTTCAACTTGTGTCGCGTGTAGCTCAAAAAGTATTTGACCTAGCGTCATGAAACTTTACAGAAATGATCATCAGCATGTGAAGTTGTGCATCTGGGTGTTTGCTTGTGGATTTGCTAAGAATTTGTAAGAGTTAAAGCCCTTGATTAGTACAAACCATTCCAAAATGCTATGTTATGTGTACCTTCTGTGGTTGAACTAGAATCAACCAACTTTACAGGAATGTTAATCAATATGTAAAGCTGCGCACCTGGGGTTTTGTGTGTCGATTTTTTCAAATTTTTGAGTTATTGCCCTTGGGGCCATATAAATTTGCAATTTAAACTTGCTCATTATGGCTCAAATAATATTTGCCTTCTAGTCCTAAAAAAAATACAAGAATGTTGATCAGCATGTGTTGATAAGCACCTGAAGGTTTGCTTGTGTATTTATTCAGTATTTGTAGAGTTTTTGCCCTTGATTTGGTTAAAGATTTGTAGCCAAAACAAATTACATAGAGTCAGTAGATTGACAAAACAGTCGAATGTGGGGCACCCAAGTCCTACGGACACATTTCTTGATTATCTACTCAATCACCTTTTGTTTGCAACATTTTGCTTGATAATAAGTTAGATTTTAATACACACAAGAAGTTCTTAATTAATAATATTTATTGCATCATCTACATATATAATTAAAAAACAGTATCAAATAAACAATAAAACCTTTAATATATACATAACATTTATTGGAACAAAAGAAAATATAAATGAAAACCTGAAAACCCCAAAAACCAAATCACCATAATATATCTTAGACTGACTATAGAAACTAATAGTTGTTAAACTGACCAGAAATAATGCTGATACAAGTCGTCAATTATTTCTGACACTCAACCTTCCTAAGATCTTATTTTCTTGTGAAAATTCAAGAAACAATATTTGTTAACATAATATTTTCCTGTGATAAACAATATTCAAGAGGTACGTAACAGATTTTAATTGATACAAACTGTTGAAGTCAAAATAATTTCAAGGAAAACATAATTAATATATAGATAATACAAACACCATATCTGTAGTTTATAGAACAGAACAGAACAGAACAAAATCTTTATTGTAGACTTGAGCTCTACGCTCCTCGTCTATATAAATACAATACATATAATACAAAAGTCAAATCAATTACAGCATGAGTACAGAGAGAGATAAATAAACTTTCTGAATAACATTTTATGTGTAACAGAAACAGTACAAATCGCCACAGTAACTCTGGCAATTTCTGAATATAACGTATTTAATGTTGTTGTTTTTTTTTAACAAATGTCACTAGTGGAGGTTATACAAACATTAAATTATAGCAGTTCGTTGGCTCTGATTTTTAAAGCACAATTAAGATAGCATGCTAATTTGTTTAAAACATCTATGTTTGTGACTGACATTAATTTAAGAAATTTAAACATGCTAGGTCGTTCAAAATAATAATTGTCAATATAACGTTTCCTAATCCATTTATACTTGGGACACATAATAACAAAATGGAACTCATCTTCAATATCAGAAGAATTACATAGTTCACAACGTCTTTCAGTTCTTTCAATTCTATTTTGTCCATACCTTCCTGTTTCGATGCGTAATTTGTGAGCGGATAATCTAAATTTTGTAATAAGTTGTCTAAATAATTTGTTTTTAACAGAACTCAGGTAACTCTCGTATTTGAAGTCATGTTTAATATGCTTATATACAGTTAACACTCTGTTGTTCTCTAAGCTACTTTTCCATTCTTGAGTGAAACAGTCTAACAAACGCTGTTTAAATTGTATAATAAATGTGACTTCATTACAATTTAAAGGGTTTTCCCAAACATACCCATAACCAAACGTATATAACATTGATTTTACATTTGACAACCAATTAGTTTTATTCTTTTGTACGTTTTCCAGCATAATTGAATACACCGTTTTTAAAACACAATATACACCGTTTTTAAAACACAATTACTAGTTTTTTTTAACACTTTAAACCAAAATTTAAGCACTTTAATGTAGCGATTGATATACAGCGGGAATCGTCCTAATTCACCATATACACCAGCATTGCTTGTGGATATCTTAACATTTAATACTCGTTTGCAGAACTTTAAGTGTATACGATCCATCTCTTTACATTTGGTAAAACCCCACACCTCAGCTGAATAATTTAAAATCGAGGTTACAAACGAATCGAATAAACTACACATAGTTTTTGGGGAAAACTCGAACTCTTTCGTATTAACTAATAATGTATTCATTGCTTTAAGCGCTTTACCCACTAACATTTGGGAATTAAGATTGAATCCACCATTTGAACCAAATACGACACCTAGATAGTTAAAGTTATTGACTGTTTCTAATGTACTTCCATCGTATGTCCATTTCTCATCATCATGTAATCTTCCACTCTTTCGAAATACCATCACTTTGGATTTTTCCGTGTTTACTTTCAAACCCCATCGATTACACTATGTGTTTAGGTCATTTAAACTCAGTTGAAGATCCTCGATGTTATCCGATAATAGCACCATATCGTCTGCATATAGGAAAAGGATTAGTGTTATATCGCCATAATTAAGACCACTTCCTGGTCTAGATCCTAGGAATAATTCTAGGTCTTCAATAAACATAGACCAGAAAAGAGGTGAACAGATTTCTCCTTGTTTTAGACCAACGATTAAGTCCATGAAATCCGAACATTGGTTACAGTGCCTGACACGGCATCTCACGTATTCATACATTGATCTTATAATCCGTAGCATTTTACCATTTATTCCAAGTTTATACATTTTAAACCATAAAGCATTTCTGTAAACGCTGTCAAAACACTTTTTCATATCTATAAATGTAGCATAAAGTCTTTTCCCATTATTAAAACTACTTTCTATTATACTATTTAAACAGAAAATCGCATCTGTAGTGGAAAAC